TCACCTTAACAGAGATATTTAAAGTCATTGATTCACTTCCTAACAACAAATCACCAGGCCCTGATGGATAAGGTGGAGAATACTACAAGACCTTTAAAACTACAATAGGCCCACACTTAGAATTGATTTACAACTCTGCTGCTGCCTCCTCTTATTTTCCTCAAGAGATGCTTAATGCTTTTATTATCACTCTATCACAACCAGGGACTGATCCTAATACACCCCAAAACCTTAGGCCTATATCTCTTTTAAATACAGACCTAAAACTACATGCCAGACTCTTAGCTTTCCAATTGGTGGACATCTTGCATACTTTAATCCACCCTGATCATTCAGGATTTACCAAAGGCAGACAGACATCTGATGCCACTAGAAGGGTTGTGAATGTTCTCCATTTTGTTAGACACTCTAAAACACCTTTTCTCTTCCTGGCGTTAGACGCCTAGAAGGCGTTTGATAGGATCCATTGGACCTATCTTACTCGAGTACTATTGAAATATGGATTTGATGTTCGTGTACTATCTGCCATGTTAGTCTTTTACACCTCCTTCTGCCCAGGTTTACATATCAGGTATGCTATCAAAACTCCTTTTGATTACCAATAGCATGCGCCAGGGCTGCTCGTTCTCGCCTCTCATTTTTAATTTACTTTTGGAACCATTGGCCACTTACATCAGATCCCACCCAGATATCTCTGGCATTCAAATTGTTAAACGCAACCATGTCATCAGCCTTTTTGCTGGTGATGTTATTCTCATGCTAACTAAAACTGAGACTTCCTGGGAGCAGTGCAAAATACCTTACAACTGTTTAATGCTATATCTTAATACAAGGTTAATACAAATAAGTCTTACATATTGGATTTAGGCTCAACCCCCCCATATTAAACGCAAGCTTCAATCCCAATTTCCCTTTGTGTGGAAAGCTATTGGAATTACTTATCTAGGGATAACACTCACTACATCAGTTAACTTACTTTTCAAAGAAAACTATGTTCTATTCTTGCAGAATCTACACTCCAACTCAACTATCTCACCATGAACTTTCCTGGTCAGGTAGACTAGCAGCATTTAAATTGCATATTTACCTTTAATTTTATGTACCTTTTTAGATCATTGCCCATATCGTGCCACAATACTGCTCTAACTTAAAGTTTGGTTTGCTCAACCTCCAACTTTGTTATGGGCAGAAATTGAGATTAAACGGATACCAGGAAAGAAACTTATTAACCTTTTTGTATCTATATTCACTCAAAGCATATATGCGTGCCACTTATCACCTACCATCCAAGCTACTTTACATGTCTGGAAAAACTCTCCTAACTCTACCTAAGACTAATCAAATAACTAATCTGCCTATTCCATTATCTGTATGCTGTATGCTGATCCTAATATATCCTCTAGTTAAACTGGTCCAGCAAAGGTATCTTGTGGTTCCATAACTTTTTTAAAGATAACTCCCTGAAATCTTTCCCAGACCTTAAACGTGAATATCAAATATCCATACAGAATAATATACTTACTTGCAGATTGCTTCATATTTTCATCATAACTAGAGATGAGCGGAAATCGAAGTAGGCGAAGTGGAATTCTGAGTCGAATATTGGAAAATTTTCGATTCGCGCTTGAATCCCGAAAAATAGCCTACTTCGGAAGCGCGAAGATCGAAATTTTTCCTAAAATGGGGCGGCGGACATGTGCGGCGATGGGAGCGGGATGTCTGGGAAGGCGCGCATACAAGGTGCGCTGACCCATAATGCATTCCTTAATGACATGTGATCGCATTAAGCCAATCAGCCAGCCAGCCACCACACTGTGTAATGGTCGAGCTATAAATTAGCGGCCATTTTAGAATTCTTCATTTGCCTCCAGTCATTCAAGAGAGGCAGACCGCTCTGTATTAGGGACAGAGTTAGGGCCACAGAAACGTTACTTGGGGACAGAGAAACGTTACTTAGGGAATCGCCAGGACAGAGAAGCATTACTCAGGGACACAGAATTGTTAATGAGGGCCACAGAATCGTTACTTTAGGGCCAAAGAAACGCTAGTTAGGGGCCACAGAATTGTTACTCAGGGACAGACAGAATTGTTTACTCAGGGACAGACAGAATTTTACTGAGTGCCAGAGAATTGTTACTTAGGGCTTAGATAGGGCCCACAGAATTGTTACTCAGGGACAGACACAGAATTGTTTTAATGAGGGCCACATTAACTGTTACTTAGGGCCACAGAAACGTTAGTTTGTTAGGGCCACAGAATTGTTACTCAGCAGATTGTTGTTACTGAGGGCCCACAGAACTGTTCATTTAGGGCCACAGAAACGTTAGTTAGGGCCACAGAATTGTTACTCGGGACAGACACAGAATTGTTATGAGGGCCCACAGAATTGTTACTGAGGGCCACAGAACCGTTACTTAGGGGCACAGAAATTTGTTACTCAGGGACACAGAATTGTTAATGAGGGCCACAGAAACCGTTTACTAGGGCCACAGAATTGTTACCTCAGGGACAGACACAGAATTGTTACTCAGGGACACAGAATTGTTACTGAGGGCCACAAAAACCGTTACTTAGGGCCACAAAAATTGTTACATCAGGGGACACAGAATTGTTACACTGAGGGCCACATGAACCGTTACTTAGGGCCACAGAATTGTTACTCAGGGACACAGAATTGTTACTTAGGGCCACAGAAACGTTACTCAGGGACACATTGTTACTGAGGGCCACAGAAACCGTTACTTAGGGCACAGAATTGTTACTCAGGGAGAGACACAGAATTGTTTACTCAGGGCTGACACAGAATTGTTACACAGAACCGTGGGCCACAAAACGTTACTCAGGGACACAGAATTGTTACTGAGGGCCACAGAATACTTAGGGCCAAGAATACTTCCAGGGGACCAGACACAGAATTGTTACTGAGGGACACAGAATTGTTACTGAGGGCCAGCAAACCCGTTACTTAGGGTCCACAGAAACGTATAATCTCAGGGACACAGACAGATTGTTAACTGAGGGCCACAGAATTGTTACTCAGGGGACCCACAGAATATGTTACTGAGGGACACAGAATTGTTACTGAGGGCCACAGAACCGTTACTTAGGGCCACAGAATTGTTACTCAGGACAGACACAGAATTGTTACTGAGGGACACAGAATTGTTACTGAGGGCCACAGAACCGTTACTTAGGGCCACAGAAATTGTTACTCTCAGGGACACAGAACTGTTACTGAGGACACAGAAAAAACGTTTACTTAGGGCCACAGAATTGTTTACTACACAGGGGACTGAACACAGAATTGTTACTCAGGGACTAGAATTGTCTTACTGAGGGCCACAGAACCGTTACTTTAGGGCCACAAAAACGTTACCAGGGTCAGACACAGAAATTCTATCAGGGTAATTCTTACTCAGGGACAGACACAGAATTGTTACTTGAGGGGAACTTATGTTACTGAGGGCCACAGAATTGTAATCCCCCCTTTTCCTACAGAAAGCATTGTTACTCAGGGCCACAGAATTGTTACTAACATGGCCCACCGGGAGAATTGTTACTGGGGGACACAGAATTGTTACTCAGGGACACAGAATTGTTACTCAGGGACATGACACATAAATTGTTATCAGGGACAGACACTGAATTGTTACTCAGGGACAGACTCGAATTTTTACTGAGGGCCACAGAAATGTTACTTTGGGCCACATAAAACGTTTCGCAGGGACACAGATTTGTTGGACTAGTGGACAGACACAGAATTGTTACTCAGGGACAGACACAGAATTGTTACATGAGGGACACAGAATTGTTACTGAGGGCCACAGAACCATTACTTAGGGCCACAGAAACGTTACTCAGGGACAGACACAGAATTGTTAACTCAGGGGACAGACACAGAAATTTTTTGACTGAGGGACAAGAAGTTTTTACTGAGGTACAAGAAGTTACTGAATGGGACACAGAATTTTGTTACTCAGGGAAACAGAATTGTTACTGAGGGCTACAGAACCGTTACTTAGGGGCCACAGAATTATACTCAGGGACAGACACAGATCCTCAGGGACACAGAATTGTTACTGAGGGCCACAGAATTGTTACTCTGGGCCACAGAACCGTTTACTTAGGGCCACAGAATTGTTCCTCAGGGACAGACACAGAATTCTACTCGACAGGGACACAGAATTGTTACTAGGGACACAGAATTTTATTGAGGGCCACAGAATTGTTACTCAGGGGTGACACAGAATTTGTTACTGAGGGACACAGAATTGTTACTGAGGGACACTGAATCACTCCAGGGACAGACACAGAATTGTTACTGAGGGCACATAAACTGTTACTTAGGGCCACAGAACTTTACTTTAGGGCCACAGAAATGTTACTCAGGGGACAAAGAATTGTTACTGAGGGACACAGAATTGTTCTGAGGTGAAACAGAATTGTTACTCATGGACAGACACAGAATTGTTACTGAGGGCCACAGAAACTTTTTATTGTCCATGTTACTTAGGGGCCACAGAAACGTTAACTCAGGGACACAGAATTGTTTCTCAGGGACACCAGAATTGTTACTGAGGGACACAAGAAATACTGTGAGGACACAGAATTGTTACTGAGGGCACCAGAACTGTACTTTAGGGCCACAGAAAATTCTTTACTCAGGACACAGAAATTGTTACTCAGGGACACAGAATTATTACTGAGGGACACAGAATTGTTACTGAGGGGACAACAGAAGATTGTTACTCAGGGGACAGACAGACAGAATTATTACTGAGGGCCACAGAAAACTGTTACTTAGGGCCAAATGTTACTTAGGGCCACAGAAACGTTAAACTCAGGGAACGCAGAATTGTTAACTCAGGGACACAGAATTAGTTACTGAGGGACACAGAATTGTTACTCAGGGACAGACCACAGAATTGTTACTGAGGGCCACAGAACTGTTACTTTAGGGCCACAGAACTGTTTACTTAGGGCACAGAAACGTTACTCATGGGACACAGAATTTGTTACTCAGGGGACACAGAATCGTTAATTAAAGAGTATGTCAGACAACATGCAGAGGCGTGGCAGAGGAGGCAATGTTTTAAGGATAGCAGCAGAGGACGGGGTCGAGGCAGCATATTCGCAGCCAGAGGCTAGTGCTCCCGGTGTCTAATCCAGTACAGTGAGCGAAGAGGCTAACAGAGGGCGGTCAGAACGGGGGAGAGACATCCAGCCTCTTCAGCAGCCAGGCGAAGAAGTTGTGGACGAGGAGTAGTGGCTTCGGTAGCCGGTTGTAGAGACAGGTCCTGTCTCCTGACCTCACTGCATCCGAGGGGGCTAGTAATTGAGGCGGAGACCCTAAATTGATGATGATGAGGCTGATCGCACTTGGCAGCCTCGTCGTCATCAGGCTATTGCTTCCGCATTTTAGGAGAAGAGGGTGGCAGCTTGGCAGCGAGCATGAACACTGTCGTGGGTTGTCTCCATCGCCACACTCTTGCCTATGTGCACATTCAGATCTCCTCAGCTGGTGTGTTGAATTTTTGACATAGGGTGCTGGCAGATTACGGGCCTCCCATAGCTGCTGCCAGGGCCCCTTAATCTGCCATGGGCCCCTATATACCGCCTCCTCATGCTGCTGCCAAGTCCTAATGAGTGGTGTCATGGGTCCCTGTACGGCCTCCATTGCTGCTGTCTCCATACACTCTGCTATTGTGCCACGTTCCAGTCTCATCACACCTGCTGGTGTGTGAATTTTTTGTCATAGGGTGCTGGCAGATTACGGGCTCACATTGCTGATGCCAGGCCCGTAAATCTGCCATGGGCCCTGTACCGCCTCTTCAGCTGCCAGCCAGGTCCAGAGTGTGTCATGGGTCCCTGTACGACCTCCCATTGCTGCTGCCAAGGAAAAGGCAGCAGGGTCGCAGCAGTGTCAGTGGAGGCAAACTGGCCACGGAGTAGAGCACCAGCTCCACTGCAGCCACCACCGGATAGGCCATGTAGTGGTGCCGGTTGTGAACAGGAGGAAGTAGCATCAAGCCAGCGAGGAGTAGCGGGGGCAAAGTTTCCTACTCGGCGGTAAATTTTTCGTCAAGAGCCGCCCGAGGAAGTAAACGTAGCCGTATGTCCGACTATGTGGTCCCAGAAAGTTCATGCGTGGGGCCCAGGGGGCCCATGTTGGGGACTTACAGCGTTGCGTCAGCATATGCAGTGTCGCCATTCCGTGGCCTGAAATAACCGTGATAAAGATACGGCGGTTCTGCCTGCCCCAGCCCAGGTTCCATTTTGTCATAGTTGTACTGGCAGATTAACGGGCATCCCATTGCTGCTGCAGGCCTTAATCTGATGGGCCCCGGTACCGCCTCCATCTCATGGCTGCTCGCCAGAGTACAGAGTTGTCATGGGTCCCATGTACGGCCTCCCTTTGCTGCTGTAAAACCATCGCCACACTCTTGCCATGTGCCACTTTCAGGTCTCCTCTCACACCACTGCTGGTGTGTTGAATTTTTTGACATGCTGGCAGATTACGGGGCCTAGCTGCTTGCCAGGCCCCCTAATCTTGGGTGGGCCCCTATACCGCCCTCCTCTACTGCTGCCAGGTCCACAGTCTCTCATGCCATTGCCACTTTCAGGTCTCCTCACAATGCTGGTAAATTTTTTGACATAGGGTGCTGGCAGATTACGGGCCTCCCATAGCTGCTGCCAGGCCCCTAATCTGACCATGGGCCCCTTATACCCCGCCCTCATGCTGTACCAGGTCCAGAGTCTCCTCAGGGTCCATGTACGGCCTCCCATTGCTGCTGTCTCCATCGCCAACTCTGCCATTGCCACTTTACAGGTCTCCTCACACTGCTGGTGGGTTCCATTTTGTCATAGGGTGCTGGACAGAATTAACGGGCCTTTACCATTGCTGCTGGCTGTAATCTGCCATGGGCCTCCGTACCGCCTGGTCCACAGTGTGACATGGGTCCCTGTACCGCCTCCCATTGCTCCACTCTGCCATGTGCCACTTTGAGGTCTCCTCACACTCCCTGCTGGTTTCCATTTTGTCATAGGTTGCTGTATGCATAGGGGCCTGCTGTATGGGCCACACTCCCATTGACTGCTGCCTCCACCGCCACACTGTGGCTCCTAACACTGGTTTCCGATGGCCCCCATTGCTGTGAACGCCCACACGTGGCCAAATGAGTGAAGTGTGCGGAGATTCTAAGATCGACGGCACACTCATCTGCATGTCATACTGACCTGACAGTATTATAGTTCTCTTCCCCAGCAGACTCCAAAGGGCATTTAAAATTAAAGGTACAGTGTTCTGCACTAAATATTAAGTCTCTCTGAAGCCTAGAAAAGTTTTTCACAGCGAATATATTACGACTCGAATCGAATATTGTCCATGTCAATTCGCCGAAATAGAATCGAATTTTTGAATACTTCGCTCATCTCTAATCTTAACCCATCATTTTTCCTGCCAACTTCCAAGTAAAATTGTGCAATATTACAAATAATACAAAGACCCAAAAGGGGGTATATCTCTTTTATACTGCTACAAGGATAACAAATACTTTTCTTAATTCCCCATCTTTTTTGGTATGGGCAAATAGATGTGGAAACCACATTTGCTCCTACTCAATGGATGTATGCATTCCAATTCCTATCTATTAAAGCCACTAGCAAACATGAATCTCTGGGAATTAATGCAAAACATTTACTTACACTGGTATTTAGCACCCCATTGCATCTCTAAATTTAATTACCTCTTTTTGTAACTTATGCAGAGGATGTGGGACAAGTGGGCACCTTGTATCACCAATTTTGGTCATGCGAATATTTAGTATAATTTTGGACTACTATTTTTAAGATTTTCTCCAAAATCTATCTATCTCACTATCTCTCCAATCCTAGCCATTTTGAATAGAGGGATAGAGAACATCCCACCTTCTCTACAAACAATAGTAACACGTCTTGTTAGCAGCTAACTGTGGTCACAATGGTACAAATCACAGGGTAATTCTCTTGAATAATCTGTGTACTATCTTTTTTTGAATTGTGCATATTGAATATGTTGCTCCTATTTTGATAATAATATTTATGCTAATATTTATTTGGACATTTATTTTTATTGTCCTTTTTGTGATACTTGAATGACTAATTGACATACCATTGCATTATACAAGTCATTCTTTGCTCAATATAAAAAAACTTTACTAAAGAAGTATTGAAAGTAAAGACAGAATTTGTGTTTTCTGAGCAGACCCTTACTTTTCCATCGAGAAATGGCTTTTTTATTGGAAATGTGGTTAGTACAGTCTCAGTACAGAGGTGTATATAGGTCAAAACATATGCATAATTTTTGCTCTAAATGCATCTGCATCTTGTAATACATGTCTCAGTGTGTGATTTTAAAACATTTTTGCAAGAGTGAGGTGGCTTTCTCATGACAAATTTGGAGTGAGGAAAATCACCTTACTGCTTAATTCCATGACAAAAAAGAGATTTGCTGCATATACATATAGGAGGGGGGGATTTACTAAAACTGGTGCACACAAAATCTGGCCTAGTAGCCAATAAGCTTCTAGGCTTTATTGTCAAAGTTTAATTGAACAAGCTTAAATTAGTACATCTCTCGCATAGTGTCTCCACCTGACAAGCCACACTCCCCAGATGTGATTCACCCACAATAGGCTTGCTCAGAGGGATAGAGGTGGTACCAACCTTTGCTCTTGTGATCAAGCCCATTTGGGTGAAACATGTCAAGAGAGTGTGGCTTGTTGGGTGGAGACATTATGTATGCAGTGGTTTCCCTTTGTTTTGGAATAAAGCAATACGTTGATTTTACTAAAGAGTGTGAATCTCATTTAGTGCATATTAAAGTCTTTATATGTAATCATAACCCCCTGAAAATGCATCTCATAGCCACGTCAGTGATGGAGCAATCTAGCCACATTTCTGTATAACCATCACACAGCTGTTAATTTTGTGCAAGGTAATTCTCAACCTGAGTCCATTGGTTTTGTGGGTAAATGATTGGGAGTTGCTGAGAAAAATATTTCACATACCTGGTCTGTGCTGATAAAATTTTAGCCTAGTTCATAGGTCAGCTCCTATATCTATGCCACCTTTGATGCTCTTTTTAGTGAGATGGTACTGATTCCAGTGGGATACACTGAGTGTGGAATAAAGTTCAGGCTTTTTGAAACATGACTCTAATGTTTATCTCAGATACTCAGCAATTTTTTATCTCTGTAATGCATACATGCTTTAGCCGACTGTAACAAAAATACCAAATGTTGTCACTAGACCTCACCACTGTACCTGTGCCACCATGAAAACTGTTTGTTTATATTAGCAACAAATGTTAACAACTGTTAGCAGCACTTAGTCTTTTTTTCTGCTTTGTGAAGGCATGTTTTATGACAAATTAGTACTGTTGCAACACTAATTAGTCATTAATATTAGCTGAAAGGAAATTATTCAACTCCAGACAATCTGATGTGGTTCTTATTAATAGTATAATCATGGCAAGTGTAAGTGTCTGTATGTACAGTAAGTAGTTTAACTACATACATGGCTAACATCTACTCCCTGAAGTCAGTATGGACAGCAAAACTAGGGCACAGATCTTTTCTGCATGGTCGATAAGGGGCCAAATCATGTCAGATAATCATAAAACATCAGAGATGACATCTTTTCCTTTTTTATTCATTTCTGTAAGCATGCGGGGCATGGTAGAAGTGCTATCTTCTGTAAAAGCTTTGGGTCATCAAAAACCTTCAGGGTCAGATGATGGATCAGTCAGTCACACTATAAAGTTAGCTGGTCATGCCACTGGAGATAGATAAAAACTATAGGCTTATGGTGCAGATATTTTCAGGTTTCTTAATAATTCAAGTGGATAATGAATTAGTGTTCATTTATTTTTAGTCAGTGTATGTTTTTAAGAACAGTTTGATTTGTTTTGCTATCAAATATAATCTAAAAATGACATTTACTATATAAGTACATGAGATGGTAAATCTGAACTTTAAGCAACAGCTGAATACAAAGTTGAAATACATATAGTATAGTATTGTATAGTAAAGATGGTGACTTTCTAAACATGATTTTTTGCACAGCAGGTTTTTGACCTGACTTTTCCTTATTACAGGTGACCATTTCAGTCCCCAGGCCTGTACCTACCTAAATCCCCTTGAGTCCCAGAATATTTTTTTTTTCAGCAATGTCTCTACAAAATTTGTGCAACCCAATATATTTACCTGAAATATAATCCACAAAGTCTGGTGATTAAGACATTATCATATTAGTGTAACTTTTATATCATGTAGTGGATTGGTAAATATTAAAGTGATCATAAGTGTTTTAGTTTAGGAGAGCTTTATTCTCCTTTAACACTACATTGTGATGCAAGAAAAAATAATTTTGAATACATTTTTTTTCATGATATAAAGATAACCCAAGGCTGTGGGTTATTATTGAAGTCACTGGTACCAATTCCGGGGGTTATTACTGCCATCAATGGCATCACTGCTGAGGGTTATTATTGCTTTCACTTGTAACAATACTAGTGGTTGTTATTGCGGTATAGGGAAATAATGATGGGGGTTATTATTCAACTCATTGACACTAATGCTGGACGTAATTTTTGCGGTCACTCACATCAATGCTTAGGGTTATGATAGTGGCCACAAGCAAAAAATGTTGGGGGTTATTTTGGAATCGCAGTTAATACTAAGGCAAATAGTCTTCCAAGTCCCCAACAAGATGTGAGAAATAATTAGTAATACATAATGAACTAGGAGCAGTCACCAGTATTGCCAATCTCATACACATCTTGAAAAATAAAAACCTGGCTTATACACAACTCTACTACAGCCTCAAAATATATGTATATTAACAAATAGTAAGGTATGCTTAGAAACACTCTTTGTGGAATATAATTTTATTAGTTTTATAAATATCAAAGGACATAGACAAGAAAAAGAGAACACCCATGAAAATGTGTGGAAAATATGAAACTACCACACAACAGATATGAGAACATAGAGTTACGATGCTTTGAAGCAGTCTAGGTAGTTGTATCAGAACAGTGCTTGTGACATGTTTTGTTCAAAATGCTAGAAAATGTGGAAGAAATGTTTAAATGTGTTTTAAAACACAACTACTGGCCAATAATTAAAAACAACTGAACAGCCTTTGTTCCTTAATTGATTGGGTATTTAAATATAATATAGCAGGGAACCCGACATAATAAGATTTCCAGTCATTAGTTCACAAAATTCTAGCCCTCCTCTTCTTCATTAAGCTCTGGGTTGTGCACTGGCCCTTGGCATTTTCACTTACAATGCTGAAGTGCTTGTCCTGCAAATTTTGGGAGGACATTAGACTACCTAAAATTAATGGAGCGGCAAAGAGAAGCAGCTTTGAGGGACCATTCATACAGTTTGGAAGAAGCCTGTGGGAGCCAGGGTAAAGACAATAACATTTCCTTTTTATGATTGTCATATAAAACAATGTATGCTTCACCTCACACAGCGTTCAAATGAAATATTTACCTAGGCCTTTTAAACATTCATTTTAGCATTTTTTTGTGTCCATTGCGTATTTTATTTTCATACTTCTTAGGAATCTAATGAAAGTGATTGTGAACCTAAAGAAGCTAAAGCAGATGGCGATTCTTAATCAAACTCATAATTTTATATAAATGTGTACATTTTTAGTATTTAAATTCAATGTGTAAAGTCACACATTACATTTGAATATGTAATTCAGTCTTGAGTAATAATGTATTTTTATGCACTGCCACTTTCTAGTACATTTTCAAATTACACTTATACTACATTCAACCTTAGCCTTCTAAAACAATTCTTCACTTATCTGCACACAACATCTCACCCACCCCTTCCTAAACAACTGTTGCTCTTTATCAACAGCTCTCTTAAAAACCTTTAAAACACCCCACCCCCTCCAGTGGCCACCTATAACTGCCAGTTATCATAGCACCTCAAACAAACTAAAAAACAACCAACCATAACCACTTCACATAAGCTCCACAGCCAAATCAATTATATTGGAGCTCCCCTGGGGGGCTTGCTGGGTGAGATTTTAACACAGTGATGACTTTGATGATCACATTTCTGTTGTCATCAACTGGGTCTGTAAGTGTTTTATGATATTATTTGTACAAATTGATTTTGCAGAAAGTACTGTGTGTTTACTGAATTACTAACTGTTTTTTAGTTTACAGATTATTGTTTCACCAGAGGAAGAAAGCATTGTTCAAAGTGTGTCGAGTCAGAAGAGAACTGTACCCACTATGTTTTGATCACATTTTTGTGGCCCTGTGCATAGTTTTTATAACATCCATGTTTAATGTGTTTTGAAAAAAATAGATTTTATGTATTTACATATGTAGATATGTGGAATGCTTGTAAAGTCCCATTCAAATCTAGAAGCTTTTATGCTATAACATCCAAAGCCAAAATAAAAGGCATCTCTGACTATCTAAATCAGGGTTTTTCAACCAGGGTTCCATGGAATCCCAAGGTTCCTCCAGAGGTTGCTAGGGGTTCCTTGAGCAATGAGCAGTTTCTGCCTCTCAGAGAAGTTCCCACCAGGGGCGGACTGACCATTTGGAAACTCGGGCACTGCCCAAGGGCCCGGGGTCAGTAGGGGGCTCCATGAGATGCCCCTGGTACCTTTTTCATAGGCTTTTTTGAGTTTGGGCAAGGACACAGGGGCCCCATGATCCCCTATTGCCCGGGGCCCCATGAGTTGTCAGTCCGCCCCTGGTTCCCACTGACACCAGTGATCTTTTTAGCTATTTGTAAGGGGGTCATTCTTCCCACTGACCATCACTAATGAATCATGAGTTGTAGATATGGGTCATTTTTAGTAGGGGTTCCCGGAGACTGAAATGTTATATTAACCTCCCTGGCGGTATTCCCGAGTGTAACTCGGGGTAAAGTTTCAGCACCACAAGCGGTGACCCCGAGCTACACTCGGGCTTACCATGCGGCGCTGCTCCTGGATCTCTTCTTCACTTACCTTGTCCTTCGCTCTCGTGATGTCCCCCCTGCAGCGTCCCCGGCAATGTCCTCCGGCCAATTCCGGCATCTGTCTTCCGGGTTCCGTTCCTTGCGATGTCAGGACATACAGGGATGGAACTGGTAGGCAATTTAAAAATGTCAAAAAGTGGCATTCACTAAATACACTAAAATTACATAGTAAAACATTACTGTATCAAACCATTTCACATACATTTTGTCCCTAGTGTTTTGTCCTGTGCCCTGCCTGCATTTTTACTGTTTTTTCTGCCTTGAAACTGAGACATGTCCATGGCATCCAAAAAGCATCCCTTTAGGTCAAAAAGCAGTTTTAGACCAGCTAGAGAACAGCGATAGTAAATCAGAATCACTTGCAGAATTGAGTGATAATGATTCGTGGGGAAATTCGTCATCAGACACTGAAAATGATTTTACGACTTTGCTCAGTGATGTGCGAACTTGGCGCTATATTTCAAATGTCAGTGTTTTTGGTTTGATTATATTATTGAATTAAATTTATTATTATTATTTATTATTATTTTTTATGATTATTTATTAAATTATAATTTATGATTTTGTGTTTCAAATTTCACATACCAGGGATGTTTACTAAACTCTTGCTCGGACAGATTTCAGGGAGTTATTCCTAAAAATTACAGGCCTACAGTAAAAAACTACATATTTCCATGTAAAAAAATGTACCGATTTGGGCACAGAAATACTGACATAATCAGACCACTAGGGAGGTTAAGGGTTCCTCTGTAATGAAAAGGTTGAGAAAGGCTGATCTAAATGCACAGTGCTTTCACACACTCAAAATCTGTCCACTTTCCTTTAATGTCTTTTAATTTGGACTATCTCTTCATTATCAATACCACACTTCACCAGTATGCAGGGGCTGACTGACCATTTGGAAACTCCGGCACTGCCTGAGGGACGAGGTCAATAGGGGGCCCCATGAGATGCCCCTGGTACCTTTTTCATAGGCTTTTTTGAGTTTGGGCAAGGACACAGGGGCCCCATGATCCCCTATTGCCTGGGGGTCCCATGAGTTGTCAGTCTGCCCCTGCCAGTATGCATACCTATATTGTCTGACAATACTCCCACCCCAAAAAAATTGTAATGCATAATTTACAATACACCTCATACTAAATGTGTATTTCAAGTTATTTAGAACTGTCTAGATTATCACTAATTGTTTTTTGTAATGTACAGCTCATTCCTCTTTTTTTCAACAATCTTGCACATACTGACCAATGTCATGCCTTCTGATTTACTTTTCTTTACTATAGCCCTGTATGATGACCTCCTTAATCCTTTACTGGCCCTTATTGTCATTCTCATATCTTTTGCACGTTTTCATTTGCTATACATATTGCTCTAAATTATACTCTTTTACATTACTTAATAGAACATATCGTCTGTTCTCTAAACCCTTACAATAAATTGAATGTGTATGCATTCACATTTATTATTCCACAGAACTCTTTTTGTGCACTTATTTCTTATTTTAACACAGACTGCTATTCCTTTTCAGCACATAATTGAACATGTAATAACTATATTCAATTATTTGTTTCCACGAATAACTATTAAAACAATATTTACAAAATTTGCAATGTATTCATAAATATTACATTTTACCATTAAATTGGCTTTTTTTGTTATAAATTGTATATACTGTGGAGCTGTATAAGTGATGAATTGGACTCTGGAATCCTTCATCTAACCTTTCAGAACAAGATCACTTTTCTTTCTCATGGCACAATATTTGTCCAGTAATCCTTTATATGGAAACCCTATACACCTGCATTATTCAGTTTACTTCACACATACTTTGTTTAGGCACCTTTAAATCCATTTAACCACTTGCCTACAGGGCACTTCTACCCCCTTCCTGCCCAGGCCAATTTTCAGCTTTCAGCATTGTCACACTTTGAATGACAATTGGTTGGTCATGCAACATTATACCCATAAGAAATTTTTATATTTCTTTTCACACAAATAGAGCTTTCTTTTGGTGGTATTTACTTGCCACTGGGTGTTTTTAGTTTTTGTACTATAAAAAAAAAAAGCAAAACATTTGAAAAAAAAAAAAAGTTTTTCTTTGTTTCTATTATAACATTTTGCAAACAGGTAATTTTTCACCTTCACTGATGTGCATTGATGAGACTGCACTGATAGGCAGCACTGATATGCACTGATAGGCAGCACCGATGGGCACTGATGATGCTGCACTGATAGGTGACACCGATGGGCAGCACTGATGAGCGGTACTGTTGGGCACTGATGAGTGACACTGATGGGCACAGGTGGTTGGCACCGCAGGGCACAGGTGGGTGGCACTGATGGGCACAGGTGGGTGGCACTGATGGGTAAAAGTGTGCGGCACTTCTGGGCACTGATGATCAGGGCACTGATCATCAGTGCCGATCCCTTCACTGACAATTGCCGGTTTTCGGCAGTAATCACGCTGTGACAGCATGAGGAATGTGCAGCCGATAACCGGCAACTTTATTTACCCAGTGATCTGCTGTGTCATTGGACACAGCTGATCACATGGTAAAAGGCTGCCTTGATTGGCCGTTTACCATATGACGTGATCAGATGTGTCAGTAGAACACAGCAATCACCGACGCCACCGGGTGCGTGCAGGGGGGCGTGTTCTGGAATGACATACATGGGGCGTCGTCCTAGAACCAGACAACCACGCTGTAGCCGTCCTTCGGCTATAGTGCGGTTGGGAACTGGTTAATAAATCTGACAGACTATTTATACCAAATTCATTTAGCATTTCCACAGCTGTAACAACTAATACAGTGGGCAAAATGCGGTATTTTCATGAAATACCTCAATAAGGAAAATAATGCAGTATGGCCCATAGAGCTGATGATCATTGGAAATAAACATTAGAAAAACTATAGGGTTTACTTGTGATGGGTATGCAAATGCTCAGACATTCGTACATTGAATTTTTTTTATAAATAGATTCCTAAAATATGAAAAAATACATTTAAAATGTAAAATGTGGTACCATATAGATTTTCAGCCTGATTGTTATTTTTTACCTAAAAGTAAATATTATTATTTTAAAACACAAATAAAGCCCCCAAGACACTCCCATCAAAAATCTTACAAGCACAGTCCAATTTTCAGTTACTCTAGCAACATTATCTTGTAGTATAAGTGTTTTAAGGTCTGTTTGTCTTAAAAACATAACAATGATATGTTTATCCTATTAATGCAAAATTTGCAGCTTTCCTTTATGGCTATGTGATGATACTGACCTGCTCCTAAAATTTGAGTAAGCTATTGACCCTCATTAATGCTGTGTCTGCTTTCACTTTATTTGGATGAATAAAACTCTGTGCTTTGATATCATAAAATGTTTGTGAATTTTAAGTAATATCTCTGTTCATTAAACTCTTATAACTTTGGTCAGTACTGTCTTGCAATGTTTTATGACACCCACCAATATATATAATTATTTTAACTCTTTATTAATGTTACAAAACTTTTGTTGATAACTTTGTGACTTGTGCATCTCAAGATAAGTAGCTTTCACTTTTTTTTTTCTGTTATACCTAAGACTTAAAGTGAATCTTCATCTTAAAATCAATCCTAACTTCTGGCACCTTTTCTCAGCCAGCTTGGTCAGATAGAGCAGTTGTTTATTTATTTATTTTTTGGATGGGGAGCAGGTACCTTTTTTCATTTTTCCAATTTCCTCTTTGTCCTTCACCTAGATGAGGATGACATGTCACCTCTGATCCTCCCCTCTTCTCACCTGCAGCCTCCTAGGACACACATTGTAACGTACCTGGTGGTGGAGCCTGATGTGTGGAGGTAGGCTTCTCTTACACCTCTGGCTCAGGAGCCCTGGTAAAGTGCCTGACTGGTCTTCCGTTGAAGGATGCTGGAGAGCAGGCTGGGCTTTGCTGAAGAGCAGGCTTTGTTTTGCAGAAGAACAGGCTGTGCTCACTGGTTTTTAGCTGTAGAGCAGGCTGTGCATTGCTGTAGAGCAGGCTGTGCTGGTGGAAGACCGGAACAGAAGGCAGGCACAAGACAGTAGGTTCAGATGCAGGAGAGCAGGGTCAGGCAGTCCGGGTCGGCAACTGACAGGCAAAACAGAGTACAATGCAGCAGGCAGACAAATAGTCAAGGTCAGGCTAGGGTTGATAATAGTAGGCAGATGGGCGGATAAACAGAAGGAGCACACAAAGACGAAATCCAGAGACAAGCTAGGGGTCAGACAGGCAGCGCTTAGGCAGGGTCAGAGGCGGATTGAGTTAGTATCAGGAAGTCAACACAGGAACAGGTATCATAAGCTTCAGGGAATGTAGTAGACCAAATAGCAAATACTCCATGCCACAGTGCAGTTTAAGTAGCCCTCCTGGTGCTATTGCATACTCACGCAATCGTTCACTCGTGCATGTGCACCTGCGATCCAACCACAGGCAGAGTTCCTCAATCCAGGGTGTCTGTGTAAGTGGATATTTCTTTCCTGACAAACATATCAGGAGGCTGCAGGATTAGTCAAACTGCATACCATGATCTCAGGCATGTGCAGTAAAGAGGTGGCTGTGAGATATCAGAAAGTTAAAGCTTGTTCAAAAAACAAGATGGCAGCATGGAGGAACAGAAGCCTTTAGAAGAATCAGCTGCATAGAAGACAGCTCTTTGCTCCATGGGTAGGTAATTATCTGTTTCTTTTTCGTCTCATGA